ATATGGACTTCTGGATTTGGACTGCATTATCCAGTATAACCTATACTCAAATATCATAATATTTTTAAAAGTCATGGACACTTTCATCTTGTTCAGAAATGGATACATATTAGAAGCTAAAAATGCTTATTTCAGGACCAAAAAACAGGCTTTTCCGTTGAAAATTTCCTCTTACAAGTATGGTGACATCATTACCGGAATAGTAAAATGAATGAGTAGAATTTTAGTTTGACCTAATAAAAAATTTATCACGTTTGTACAGAAAGCGTGTGACTATGAATAACCGAGACTTATCAACGGAATTGATAATAGGAAATAGTAGATGACTAAACGGCGATAATTTAGTCCCACACACGACACAGGAAGAGGGCAAGGCCGTACTTTGAAATTAGTCACATACTAATAGTACTATATTGTAGACGAATAATTGGATGTATTCTCAAAGATTCCCCGTAACATCATCAATAATTATACAAAGAATTCTATAACCTCCTCCTACTCTTTGAATACACCTATCCCCAGTTTTACACGTTTTCGATCTTACTTGTTTTTTTTTAACTTCCCGTAGGGTAAGTTATAGTAATCGCAAAAAAAAATCGAAAATGAAAATTTTCATATATCTTTACGTTTCAGAGGTTTCTGAACATTTTGGCATACCTTAGAAAAAATTTATGTATGTGTGTATGTGCGGATACAAATTTTCGTCGACGATTTCAGGAACACTGATCAACCGATTTTTATAATTAAAAAAAAATCGATTCGTATTGATAAGGAGACGTGCTGATCAGTTTTTGGCAAAGGCAATTCAAGCCGTTCCGAAGATACGGGGCAAAAAACAGCCAAAAACGGTAACTCAGTTTTCACGAGAACGGAGCATCAAAAAAAAAACATTTTATTTGAATTGACGAAACAAAAAACTTCAAATTTTTGGAAAGGCAGGTCCAGCGGTTATGGAGTTTCAATAAAAAAAATTAGAAAAAATGCCATTTGGCGGTCAAAAATGATGTTTAGACATATGCACATCAACTTATCAGATATTTTATAGAGATTTTGATAATGTGTATACTTTTTGTGTCATTTTTTTGGGTTCCGTACAAAGATTTTAAATTTAAAAATTTATGTATATGGTTCAAAAAAATTGTAATATGTATTTATAGATCACTGAGAGTCCGAAGATGGAACGTAATTAACTCCGAAACGTTGCAAATAAATAACTTCAAAATTATTTTTTTCTAAAACAACAAAAATAAATATTTTTGCCACCAGCCGAAATGAAAATATTTAAAAAATATAATCTCATTAAGATTATATTCCCATCCAGAAAATAGTGATTTAATATTAAGTCCAGTCAAATTGTATAGAGCCCAAAAAACTGCAATTGCGATTCTGATTCTTTAGGCCATTTTAAGTCGAAATGCCAAAAAATCGAAAGCTCCAAAGTGAATTTCGAGCCAGCGCAATTTTTAATGCAATTTTTTGCTATTCAAATATCAACTGCTAAAAAATCAAGGCAATCCTCAAGCCCCTCAAAATAATATGGACATATGATTTCATTTGACAACAAACTTTTCAATAATGGTTTGTTGTCGTGTTTCACCTATTATATCACATTTGACTCTCATAAGATTGATGAGATTTAAGGCGTAACTATTTACTTCAAAACATAAGTGCAATAGAATAGTTACATTATATATTCGAGAGTGTATGAAAATTATATTTTGACTATTTTTTCATAGTCTTTTTTATATATATTTGCACCTATTTCATCATGAAAAATGAGCAATTTTTTTTTGTTTTACTTAGGATGTCGAAATCGTATGCCAATCCATTGATTGGACATCTGGGTATAATTTTTTCATAATCATTATTATGTGATTTCATTATTGCTTATATGATATATCACACACACCTGTATGAAAATCGCAAATTTCAAGATGCTTAAGAAGATTTTTGAATACAAATAGACTTCACCATTTTATTGATATCAGGTCCATTTGTTTGTTATACATCATTGATCTAAATATACAATAAAAATAAATAATGAAAATACTCAATATAAAACATAAGCAGCAAATCTATTTCACACAAAATCTGTCCAGTTCATCAAAGACAAATTACGATTGAACTGAATTTATGTGATGTTCCATTCTAATTCTATTTTATTTCTTACAGCGGTCCGACGTGCAGAATCCATAGAATGTTATTACTGCACACAAACCGCACCGCCTGCACATACGAACCAGACGGCGAAATTATGTTCTGCTTTTGATGGTTCTAAAAATCTATTTGTCAAGGAATGTCCTTACAGTACCATGTGTATGAAGAAAACATATGAATATGAACCGATGGCAGGAAGTAAGTAAAAAAAAAGCAGGAATAAAAATAAATCATAGAGTACCGTATGAAAGTTTTTATGGTTATGAAGATTTATATTTGCAAATAAATTGGAAAGAATGCTATTATACAAGGGTGTCCTAGAACTCAAAGTCAAGCCAAAACTGGGTGATACTATTGATCGTAACTATCATGAAAAAAATGGAAAAAATATTTCTCATGTAGTGTGAAAATTATGAGCTTTTAAGTTAAACCTAGAGCTTTAGTCAAACTGCAATCAGTTTTCGGTTGTAGTTATTTTTTATTATTTTTGTTCACCAGAAAAAACGTGTTATTTTCAGGTTTTCACTTTTTACATAGAGATTCTTATAACCGACATTAAATAACAAGGCGATTACTATCTTTCTATTTCTTTTAGAAAAAATCCTTGCAACCCTCAGAGACTGCGCCCCACAACGCTACAAATACCAGGCCTACAAAGAAGGCGCCTGGCGCATGGAGTCTTCAATAGAAGAACCTTATGAAGAAGGTTGTCACGTAGACGAAAATACAAAAAATACTGTATATTGCTATTGCAGAGGATACCTATGCAATGGGGGCACCCCAAGCAAAAAGAGAGCACCACAAATTGATTTAGGAGGAGGATATCATACAGACGCCATGGCTGTTATTTTCGTGTTCAACGCAATGAAATATTTAAGGAGTGACAGATAGACAAAAAATTGTAATTTTAGACATTTTTAAAAGTTATTTATTGAATATATATGGCTGAATAGGAAGAAATTAATAATTAAAATCTTCCTCATTATTTTTTTTCTCATTGGCTTACCAAAATTAATACCTAAATCAAATCATAAATTATATACGTAATGCCCAAGCATTTCTACCTACTTGACCTTTTATCATATCAACTAAGTTTTGTTGAACGATTTCTACCTCAAAAATTTCATCATTCGTAGATAGTGCATTTACTATTATCCGACTGACTTTCTATATTATATAAATAAATGGAATTGATATTTTAAAAACATTGCTACTCATTGTTTTAATCTACAAGCAACCAATTATAAAATATTATCAAAAATATTGGTGTTAATTTTAAAAATTATAAATATATTCCATGTAAAATATATGTGATATAAGTATAAATGTATGTATATGTTATTACATATATAGTGAAGGCTTTTAATACATTTTTTTAGTTTAAGACAATCCTTATATGTAGATATTTATATATTTGGATGTATAATTTATTATGAATTATAATAAAAATATCGAACTCTGAAGTTTAAATTAAACTCTTTACATATAGGTACTATCGTTGCAAGATTGCTAGGAGCAATTGTGTAAGTAAATTAAGTGAGTACAGTGATACCCCGACTTACGAGTGACTTGACATACGAGTGTTTAAAGCTACGAGTCGCCTAAGGAGCGATTCGTTGCTTCGACGTACAAGCACAATTTGAGATACAAGCTTTGAGCAAAAAAAAGTTTTCTAGAAAAATGTTAATGGCAAAACGAAATTATGAAAAATTTTAATAGTTGTAACAATAATTTTCCTATCATAGAAATGTTTTGACTGTTTTATAATAGTAAATTGTTTTATTGCTAGTCATTTCAATTATATATTAATATTAATTGTGTAGTAACGATTTACTCATGTGAATATATCAAAGATTATTTTAACGTTTGAAGTTTTAATTACATATAAATTAATAGTGATAGTACAGTTATATATGTAGAGTTCACGTTCTTTGCTTTTTGACCATTTAGAAAATATGCATTATTATAACTATGGGCCCATAGAAAAAAGTATTGTTTCTTGAATTAAAGTGTGAGATTATTGAAAAATATGAGGATGTCGAGGATATACTATGTTTAAACAGAAGAGTTGCTAAAAGGTATAACTCCAGCTAAACGGCCTTACAATAATTTATAAACAGCTTTCTGAGCTCTAGAAGTTTGTGGGTAAAATTCAACATAAAAGGTGGCAACAGTTTGAGCATAGAAGTTGTTCAACGAAATATGTCTAACACTTTTCTGCAATATCATGAATAAACAGGAAAAAACAATAATTAAATTAATAAATAGTAAATTTACTTTTGATATTCAAAAAAAAACTGAACAAAAATCATAGGGATAGAACGAATTTTGACCCCTGTGGAACGAATATGGGGACCCCCTTTTTATATTTATATGGGGTCAATTGCTTCGAGATACGAGCGATTCGACATACACATATAATGGGGTATAACTGCAATTATATTGTGTAAAAAATTAATCCAAAATATTCTGAGACATATATATATATATATATATATATATATGTAATATTGTTTATAAGTTTTTTAATTTTTAATACCTTTCTATAAAGCAATATTTATAGTATTATCAGGATTTGCATTTTACATTTTACTAAACGTAATATAACTTTTGTCAAGTAGTCTGGATGAATGTACAACACAAAGCATCAACGTGTAACATGATACAAATTGTACAGCTTTTATGAATAAATTGTTCAAATATTTTTGAGCTTATGTGGTACCTATATGTACCAACCGAATCAAAGTTAATAAATTTCATTTCCGACATAAAATTGCATACTCCGTGCATAACATTCATACACCATTAAGCAATATTATTATAAAATAATAATAAAAACTCACCTTAGAGTTATTCTCTACTAAACACAAGAATAAGACATCCTCCCTGCGTAATCTTATGGCACTGTGCAATGGTTGGCTTGTTTTGTTCTTTAACATTTGATACAATGATGGACCAGACAAGTGTGCAAAATCTTCACCTACATTAAAAATAATGCACGGTTAAATAAAAACCATTACCACTAAACTAATCTACATATTACCATATGTTTACCTGTCAAATCATCCCAATAGGCACTAATAACACCAGAAGCATGTTCTCTCAATTCTTTTGCATCAATCTCATCAGCCGCAGTGTAAAATTTAACACAAGTTCTAACATTAACACTAGCAATTAAGCTTCTTTCACATTGAACTCTCAAAGAAATTAAACGAAATGAATGTGCTGTTCGCATAAGTTCTAAAGCAAAGTTGCTATCACCTTGCCGAAAATCAATTATATCTGTATAAAGCCATCGCATTAAAGCAACTGCTATGTTAGATGAAATATGGGACCAATCTGTAATAAAAAAATGAAAAATGATCAAATGTAACATACAATTTTAAGAAATATTCAGTTTCCTATACAGATTCTACTTAGAAACTAATATATAATTACAACTATTATTTAAATGGAGTTACAACATACATGCAATATTGCATGTCATAATATTTATACAATATAAATAAAATGATGCCTAATATTGGTAGACACACTATATTGATATTGATATTAATATTGATTGAATGATTGATTGAAAAAAATGTATATATAATAAATATACAAACCCAATTCACTAATATTCAATAAATTTTCTTTACTCCATTCGTCAGAACGAGCATTTAATACGAATTTGTGTGCAGGTACAACTTTATCTGCTAGTTTGATTTTTATGTCTGAGTATGTTTCATCATCGTAAAGAGTGGCTACTGTCATGAACAAATTAGAAACAAAACTAGCATCTTGACTTTCACTATTTTGTGCTGCTAGAGAATTGTACTTTCTTTCTAATTCGTTGTATTGGGTTTGCAGTTTCGTATACTCTTTCTTGAGTAAACTTAAGTGCTCATTCACTTTTGTTAAAGATGAAGCTGAAAAGAAATAATAATTTATAGTATGTGGTAAATACTCTAGTACAAATTGGAAAGGATTATTTGTTTCATTTTATTAGCTAGTAATGAAAGGACATACTAATGCAATAATAGTGATGATGAAAATAAAAGAAACAAGATGTCTAACGTAAATGTGTAAACTAGAAAAATCTAATATTGATTTATTGATGACGATCCAAGTTCTTGGACATGTTCGACAAAATTATATTAATCAAAACACATTGGGGGTTTGGTGCAAAACTATTAATAATTATAAATTAAAGAGATAAGAATTTTAGAACTGTCAAAATTCCATAAAGTGGTCTTGTTCTATGCACTGAATTTAAACTGTTTCTACAGAATATTAAAGAACCAAAGAATTTGAATATCAGGAATGTAATATATGAAACATGAGGACATCAAATTTTTAATCATAAATATTCATGAGACCAGTATGACAAGTAATGTGACAAAAATCATAATTAACTAACATCATCGACTTCAAAGTCAGTATATTAGTGTTAATTTAAGTGGAAACGCCCCCGATGACGTTTAATGATTCTTATAAGAATTTTGTTAATAATTTAATAAAATAAACATACCCATTATGAAATACAGTTCGTGGAGATAATCTCCACTTCAGTTTTACTTAAAACGTATTAAATATATTGCACAACACGCCGGTTAAATATTAGTAAACATTACGAAAAAAAACTGTTTTTGATCTGTCATTATTTGTGCAATGTTCACAGCTCCAAAGAACGACGTTTATCGATAATTTGTCGCATATCGATATATTCAGCCATATTGAAATTTTGGCGGCAGTTTCAAATTTGTTGTTTACTGATTGTTAAAAAATTATTTATGTATAAAAGAAATACTGTTAGATTGACAAAAATTGAAAAATAGTATATGAAAGAAGTGGAAAATATATAGTACAAAAAATTAATGGAGTAATAATAAGTAATAATTAAATAGTTTTTGATATAATAAAATTAAATGTATTTTTAAAACTATTAAATTATTAAAGGTTTCAGTTATATATGTATTATGAAGTGCAAAAACTGCAACATTATAACTAATAGTACAAAAGTGATATAGAGAGAACAATTTGCGAAATACATTGAAATAGAGGCGGGAATAGCTCAGTCAGTATCATGCCCGACTTACACACGCCAGAGGTACTCGGTTTGAGTCCTGATACTGAATTAGAATCATAGATAAGTAATCATCATTCGATTTGTTGGATTAAAATTAAGTAGAATTTGAATAGTTGATTTGAGATAGTACAACATTAGATATTAGAAGAAGACGCAAGGTTAGAAGAAAAAGAAAAATGAAGAAGTAAGTTATAAAGAAAATTGGATAGTATAGGAAATATTAAGAGAGTATATGATATAACAAAATTAGTAAAAAATTTAAAAAGAAATGGCTAGATGCTCTAAGTAAGCAAGGCTGCTAATAAAAAGAATTAACTAGTGGTGCTTGACATCGTATCTCCAAAAAGGCTGGAAATGCCTTTATAAAAAACTAATCAGCACGTCTCCTTATCAATACAAACCGAATATTTTTTGAATCATTCTAATCGGATGCCCGGTTCTTGCAAAAACCAAGTCTCCATTTACTGCACATTCTGCTTCATATCTACGAAACGGCTAGACCTTCCTTTGCTAAAAACTAATCAGCACGTCTCCTTATCAATAGTAATCGAATGTTTTTTGAATCATTCAAATCGGTTGATCAGTGTTCCCAAACATGTGGACAATAATTGTATCCACACATACATACGCACACACATCCATTGTTTCTAAGGTATGCCAAAATGTTCAAAAATCCTGAAACGTAAAGATATGCAAAAAAATTATTTTCAATTTTTGGACGATTACTAAAAACGTTGAAATATATTTATATGAAGGATAAATAAGAAAAATAAATAATTTAATTTTCTTAGCTTAACATGCGCATTATAACTTTGACGTATAAATTATCGACGAAAAACTACAGGTCAATAGGTCATTTAAATTGATAACTACGAACATGTGAAAGTATTTGTTTCTAGCAAAAACAGCACCGAATTGAATTGAATTTTAATATTTATTAAGAATATTTTACGAATAAAAATAAATTTCTAAAGAATGATGAATAAATATTTAAACCGCACTTTTTATTTGGCTACGTTTGCGTCAAGAAATCTTCTGAAGACAAACCTTCTAAAAAGATTATGAAAACTAGGAGAAATTAAAAACCAAACATTAAGAAACCATACACAAAACAAAAAAAACGATGAAGTAATTCGAACTCCTATAAAAAAAAGGTAAATTATATTTATTTCGCTTAATGAAAAAGTCTCCAAAACTTCCATACATTAGAATTTCTGCTATAAATAATAAATATATAATAAATAAATATTATATATTTATCAATTACATATTATTTATAATAGTTAAGATGTTCTTATTCTAATTTTATTGCAGTTTTCAATGTATGTATTTAAATTAAGTGTTCTTCTACAATTCACTTCTGGTGTTATAAGTTTAGATAAGGACATTTAAAAATTTTTGACGTAAAACTTCTCCAATTTCAAAATACCGAAATCAAAAGCTGTTATAATCAGTATGATTTGATTCTTATAAACAAAAACAAGTTGTCTTTAGAAAATATTGGTTAACATGCGAATTATACAAGATAATTCTAGTGTGAGTTTTCAAAAAAAAAAAAAAAAAAAAAAAAAATAGAAAAAATTTAATAAGGACATCTAATTTTTTCGTGCAATTGAAAATGAATGCTCTAAGCTAAATTAAAAAATCTGGAAATTACCAAAAATAAAATTAATCGGGATAAACCAGAATATTAAATATAATTAACTAAGATACAATTAATCAGTATTAAACCAGGATAATTTTCTTGAACAATAGGCATAGAGATAGTTTAAAACCGTTAATATTTAATTTACTATCTGATTTAATTTTTTAGCAAATCTGTATTATTATTAAAATTTAGTGCAAATATGTATTTGAAAAAAAAAATCTGAAGAATAGCCATAAAATTAAGTGAAAGTAAACAAAAAAGTCCAAAATTTTCCGAACTTGTTATTAGCAAAAATGCAAGTGTTATCTTGCTAATATAAATAAAAATATAAATTGATCATCAATAAAAAAAACTTTCAACGTCGAAAAATGTTTTATAGAAAAATTATCAATTCTGTATATAATAGAATATGCTAATACTGCAAAATCCTGTTAAGACAATCATGTTTAATATGATTTTTTTCATAATATGCTAATTTTAACCTGTCCTTGGTGTTCGAAAAATATTGTGCCTATCCCGCATAATACGCTTTCTCGCTTAAAATACGTTTTTGGCCAGATTCTTGAATAATCTTCTTAACGAAGTTTTACCTATTATTTAGTTTAGTTATACAATATGTTTGCACTTTCTGGATCATTTCAAATTATGCAGTATACAATTTTACTACTTACTAAAAAAATTGTCAAAATATATTTTTGTTAAAAAAATAAATTACACGAATCTAACAATTATTATTTTATATCATATAGCAATCAAAAAATGGTAATAGCTATAATAACATAAACAAAAAATAAATGTTGTAATAAGATAGGAAAAGTAAATTAGGTTTTACTCCATATAAAGGAGCCTGTGGGTTTAAAAATTTAAAATAAATTTATTTAAAATAATATTTTACCATTTTAATAATTGTTGTGATATTTTAGTATGGAAGAGTGAACTTGCTCGATCCGTCTTTACTTCTACGTCCCGAACAACGTTTCGCCAAAAAGGATTTGTCCTTATTCAGGGACTATTCTGAAGATGACACCGATCCTATAAAACGTCGAGTGAAGGAAACTTACCGGTTGATGCACGTCAACCAGACTGTTGATTTCGTTGAAGGTGAATATTACAAAATTTATAATTCAAAAATAGCAATTAAGAAAGTTTTTGAAGTTATAGTTATCAAAAAAAAAATTAAATTTTCTTTCTGCAAAATACTTCTTCACAATCTGAAAGCACATTTTAGAAGTATAATATAGACTGAGTTTCAATCCATTTATCCAAAAATTATATTTTCACATTTTTTTTTAAGATCGAATGAAGAAATGGTTAACTTTTTCGCATTTTCGAAGCGACATCCGTTCAGCTTTGGAACGTTTGAATTCCTTAGTCGACGAATCAGATCCTGATGTAGATGTTCCCAATATTGTCCATGCATTCCAGACAGCTGAACGTATCAGGAGCGAACATCCTGACAAAGATTGGTTCCATCTGGTTGGCCTCATTCATGATTTAGGAAAGGTAAAAAGAAGTCAAAGATTAAATGACTCTACACCATTCAGTAGAAATACTAGGATGTTTGTTATAATTGTGAGCTCAAATAGGTTCCATCAAGCTCGTTAAAAACTTTTTTGTAATAATTGACTATTTCTATAGAACAGTTTTTCAATGTTCAAACTCCATTCAGGATTTTTGACAGAAATCTTTGCTTAAATCACCTGTTAATTGTAAGGCAGGTGAAGTCTTATCAAGTATCGTCAAATGGCTTCTAAATCTTTGAAATCAGTACAAGTGATTGTCAAACATGTTTCTGAATAATGTGTTTTCTGTAATATAATTATTCTTAAGATAATTAATTCTTTGTTTTATCATAACTTTATGGAATTTTACAAACACAAAATTAAAAACAATGTTTTTCTAGGTGATGGCGTTTTACGGAGAACCACAATGGGCATGTGTCGGTGACACCTTCCCAGTAGGTTGCCTCTGGGCACCAAGCATCGTCTATGGACGTGAAAGTTTTAAAGGGAATCCCGATGAAAACGATACAAGATATAAGTAAGCCGAATTCATAAAACAAAACACTTTCCATTTTTGTATCATGAGCTATTATCTTATCCTCCATTCTAAATTCAGGAGACTTGCATCACCAGTAATAGTTCTTAGGGGGCGTCCATTAATCACGTGAACCTTACAGCAGGAGGGAGGAGGGATTGACAAAAAATCTTTGAATATCACGTAGGGGAGGGGGTCTAAAAAAAATCTAAAATTTTCAAAAAAAAAAAAAAAAATTTTTACGTTTTTTTCTAGGTGCAAAAAATACACGTAATATTGTGTGGGGAAGGGAGGGTATTTTTAAGTATCACCACAAATCACCAAAGGAGAAGGGGGAGGGTATAAAAATTCTTAGAAAATTGCTCACGTAATTAATGGACGCCTCCTATTTGGAAACACTGATAAAAGTACTAATCGGAATAAGAGAAAAATTCTACATATGTACACCACACATATTATGTAATTTCATAATGCCTTAATTTCTTATTGTATATCACAATATCATCATAAAAATATTTTGCACTAAATTACCCAATTACTCTAGTTCATCTCCCACTATTTTAGATGACAACAAATTAACTATTATTTTACCACTAACATTTTCTCCTAGTACCTTGTACGGAAAATATACTCCAAACTGCGGTCTGGACAACTTAACAATGTCTTGGGGTCATGATGAGTATATGTACAGATTCCTCTTGCACAATGGGTCAACGCTGCCTGAACAAGCCCTAAAAATCATTAGATATCACTCCTTTTATCCATGGCATTCCGGAGGAGATTATGAACATCTGTGCTGCGAAAAAGATGAAGAAACAAAAAAATGGGTCCTGGAATTCAAGTAAGAGAATAATTAATTGATTAAGATAACAAAAATGTTTTAGAGCAACTTGAACCTGAATTATGAGTCTTATATTAACCCTTTCGCTACGAGCGTCGTTTATGGACGACATCCGCTTTTTGAAAATACTCGATTTTTTTAAAAATTTATATATTTTGAAATCTTCCAAGGTAATGTTTTTTTTTTAAATTTATATATTTTGAAATCTTCCAAAATAATGTTTTTAAAATGATGAAAAATTTCGAAAATTTGAATTTTTTGAAACTTTACATTTTGTTTGTGAAAGCATTTTTTGCACACCGTCTACACAAGCAAAAGGTTCTTTGAATTAATCTAATCGGATGATCCTTTTTTGCAATTACTATAACTTACTGTACGGGAAGTTAATTATTGAGACTTCTAATTTGATATTGTAATATTTAGTTTCTTTAGAAGTGTAATTTTTAATTTTAAAATGTATTTTCCTTGGTAATGATTGGACAGCAGCGTCACTCCTGCGAAAAACACTCTCGTAGCGAAATGGTTCATACATATTTTTTTTATATAATTCTTATATAATATCTTATTAAATAAAATTAATAATATACGCAAATAATGATTTAATCTCTATATCTTATTTAGCAAATATGATCTGTATACAAAAAGTGAAGAGATTCCAGATATTGACAAACTTTGGCCTTACTATCAAGGACTTATCGACAAATATATTCCCGGAATTTTAGAATGGTGAAAAAAATATATCATTGGGTTTTATTAATAGAAAAATTCAGAAAATATTTATTTATTAATCGTAAGTAGATGCAAAATTTGTTTGTATTATATGTCTAATTCATTAAATGATGAGATAAGAAATGCAATTTATAAACTTTATACCAAAAAATTGATAAATTATATATAGTTGTACTATTTATACACAATTATGTTTATTATTTATTGATGGACAAATTGTAGTGAAAAGATAAAAAAAAATAACAAAAGCTAGAAAGAATTTCGATGTTTTTCAAACATACCCTATATGTAATGTTGGATTTACTTTAGTGAATTATTTGTAAATATTTTAGTGTTCGTTATTCTTCTAAATCAAGCTTTTATAACTATCTTTTTTGAAAACCTGTTATTTAATTTAATATTTCTGCTTTTAAAATGTTTTTTGTATATAGAGACAAAAATCTCATATAATAGCTACGTGACCTTTCTACTAATAATAAGTAAAATTTTATTCTAAAGATGCATCAACAAAAATATTTATTATAAAAATAATAGATTAATAAATTAACTAATAATAATATAATAAATGTACTAGTTATAAATTAACCTACTGATTCAATAAAAAATGTATATCTATACCTTATGAAGATGTTTAATTTAAAAAAGACCTATTCAGATTATTTATAATTTTGTAATTTTATTCACAACGTTGAACCACAATTGCATGTGGATTATTATTTATAATGAACAAACATAAAATAAAATATAAGAAAATCTTGAAAATTATTGAAACTTACATTAAGATTACTATAAATTTTAAGTCGATGTCTAAGAAACAGACCTTACATGGACTGCTAGTCGAGCGCAAAATATGTGCTCAAACATAAAAAGGTATGTAACGTCACATGTCTGAGCGAACATTGCCGACGGCAATCGCGGAACACTTCCGATTGATTAAATGTCATATGTCATATGTTTCATTTCAATAATATAATGGCAATTGTTATGGCTGATAATTTTGTAAGAAATGATATTAATAATATTTTTCTCGTGAAATAAATGTACATAAATTCAAATCCACCAGTTAAAATCGGTTCACATATTATAAGGCCTATGTTAGGCACGTAACATTGATCAATCGAGAGTCCGCGATTGTCGTCGGCTATGTTCGCTCAGACATGCGACGTCACATACCCATCTAAGTTTGAGCACTATATACAACGGAGAACATATGAGGACTACAAGTCCATGTAGTGTAATGTCTATGCTAAGGCGTCACTTCTTTGTTGCTATGGCAACGCTATGTTACGGTCCAATCCTCGTATAAATTGGTAGTAAAAACTGTCGAAAAAGCTATGTATTTGCTGTGGAGTCAAGCAAATTAGATGTAAAACCTAACCTAAAAAAACGCACGATGATATCATCAAGTGCATCTTACTAATGTGCTTTTGATAACACATACATAAAGTTAGTTTTTATGTGAAAAATGCCTGGCTGCGCAGCAAATATATAGCAATTTGACAGTTTTTACTACCAATTTTATGTGAAGAAATTATTTTTATTATTTACCACATTTATCAACATTTTTTTATCCAAAATTATTTATCCAAAGGCTTTGCATAAAGTTTTTTTTATTAAAGGTTTTAACATTTATATTAAGATTAAATTTAAAATTACAGTTGTTTCTATGTTTATATATATTTTAGTATGCTTTACAGTTTATCCGGATTTATAGCCGAAGAAATTTTCTGATAAATTGAAAAAAAATTACTTAATGTATTGAAATATGACTTTATACGCAATATATTTGACATCACAGTGTTAATGAAAAGACTACACATACTACATACGTATTAAAGTACATCTATAACTATATAAATATAATTATCTAACATATTCCAATTAAAAAAAATATCAGCTGGTAAAATCATTTGATGAGAATTATTATACCTACTACATATGTAATATTAAATATTTTTATTTAAACTTAACTTATCAAATAATTAACATCAACGTGTTAAAATGGTTAATAAATAAAAGTATAACGGCATCCTAAATTAGACTTAAATTTACTTTATATTTAGCAAGATTCACATACACAAGCACTCGTTATGAAAAGTGTTACTAGTAATAAATTCTTTTTTATTTGAATGAAAAATATTGCTAAACGTTTGAATGTAATTGCACTTTGCTTAAACAACATTCACAATATTTTGTTCTGATCTGAAAAAATAGCATAATTGCATCTTTATAATTCTAAATGCATTTCTAACTGAATCATTTCAACAGTAAATTATATTTGGCACAGTCATAAACAATATTTTCTAAATACTAAAATAGTTACTAATGGCAAGCAATTTTTAGTTAACACCGCACGAATAAATCTTCAGACTTCACATCTTGAACTAAACTAAATAATAAGTATGACGATAATTAAAAAACTTATTCGTTTCAACAGTCTATGTTCAAATAAATTCCCAAAAAATATTTCGTCCCTAAAATGAATTCCAAGTTCCATTAAAGTATTCCAAAAACATTACCATTTCTCTCCTGCTATCACATATTGTTCTCCAACCATGGCAAGAATTGGGCTACGTCCGTAAAGACGATATAGTGGTTATAATCGCATACAAACTTCTCAGTGATTGATACACCGATGGAGACTACGCCCCTGAGCCTCCAGACCCCATCAGTACCATCTTCAGGGTCTAAAGACTCTTCCAGAAATACCATTCCGCCGCCACTGTCGCCGTTACACGCTGTTGTACCTACGCCAAAGGGAAGAGGTGAAGTGACTACTATTCAGGAATTATTTTAAAAATCTTTTTTTTTACTCTTATAACCCAAAAATTAATGACAATATTTAATTAGTTAGGTTATTAAACAAAATGTTATTCAACTCACCGTTCCTGAACCCTGCGCAATATGTAAGATCTGTAACAAAACGACTGAAGAATGTGGGATACGAATGAATACAGTCCAGTTTGGGAACCACTGGCATGTGAGCTTGCATCAACTCATCAGTCACCACTTGGTATTCATCGTAGCCCCAGCCGACCACCTAAAATGAAAATTAGCATTATTAGTATGACAACAAATATAAGTGATTAACTGTTTAATCAAATTTATATAATAAAAATTCATTTAAATATTTCTTTGATATAATAAAAGGTTGGGAGTGCAAGTGCTTAAGAGGCCTTGGCTAGCAACTACAAGGTATCAGGTTCAAATCCCAGCCTAAATCAGTGGTGGTATGAGTTTTCCAAAAAATTACATATTTGTGTTAAAAAAAACAATAATGATAAGGTATAATAAAATAATTAACAACGTATAAGGAAGGAAAAAAATGTAAAATGCTACTTGGTTGATACAAAGTTGCATTCAAAATATTTTTTTCCGCAATGGGTCAATCAGGAAATAGTTTGGCATGGCGTGCTTACCATACCAAACTATCCAGGGCAAGGGCTTGGATGTTGTTGTTCGAGTGATCCTTACATTTTAGGTAAAATTTTCTAGTGAGCTTTTTAATTTGGTCGAGGACCATTGTTTATGTATGTATTTTGTAGAGTAATAGTGTCTGGTCAATGGGTCCCATTATTTGTTGAGTACTAGTCGTAAAGCTTTGTTTTGTACAGTCTGTAGAATTCGTAGATTAGTTTTTGTTGTTGCGTTCCACGCCGGTGCGACGTACAACAGTATCGGTCTTATTAATGTCAAGTAAAGTGTCCGCTTGTTCTTCACGCTCAGCAAACTGTTGAAGTTCAAGAGAGTCTCAGAATGGTCTCAGCAAATTATCATCTCATAAGCCTGTCCGATTTTTATGTTGGTATGTTTAGTAAAGCTGAGTCTATCGTTCAAGGTCAGATCAAGGTATTTGACATCATGGGACCTTTTAACTTCGTGGCCCATTACTGTCTACGTTGCTGTGTGTGTCTGTATTTTTGTGATCAGTAGTCTAGGAGATCTAGTTGATTTAAAAATGCCAGTGTTGTCAGCAAACGTCAGTAGTGTTGTGTTAACATCAGTGGAAATGTCGTGGATGTAGACGTTAAACAGTGATAGTCCAAGGATTGAACCTTGCGGTACTCCCGTCGTCACTTGTTTAATCGTCGAAAGCGTGTTATCTATTTGTACTGTGAAACTACGGTCTGTAAAGTATGAATGAAGTAGTTTTATGATGTAGGGTCGAAAATTAAAGGTTATGAGTTTATGTTTTAGTCCGTCTATCCATCTCTATAAGTTTATCAAAAACCAACAGATAATAAATGTAATTGACAGACAAACAGATAGAACAAAGACCATAACAATATTTTGAACACTTTTCAATACAAAACCTTAAACATGCTCTCCATTTAAAAAATATAGAAATGCAAAAATTAAAAAAAATATTATTGTAACTATTTATGTATTATATTAAAAACCTCATTCCAAAATCCTAATCATTTCATAAATTTTGATGAAGCCTTTCGTAAAGAAAATGAAAAGGTGGAGATAGCATGCTCTACAGAACCATTTAGACATTTAAAATGTTGTAGTTAAAATCAATTTATTTAAAATTGATATTTGATTAATAATGAATATTATTTTAATATTCGACGAAAACACTGTCCTAATTTTATTTGATTTTCTTGCAAAAATTTCACTAGCTAATGGTAAAAACTTTTATACAATATTTTTGCGGAATTTCGCTAATTTTAAACAATTGATATAATTGAACTAAATACAAAACATATTAAAATCTTTCCATCTCAAAAATGTTAAATCTGTAATTTTTTACCATTTTCGTAAGATTAATGCATTTGTTAAACGTATAATTTTCCCAGAGAATTATTACAGGCCAACGTGCATAAAGAAATATAATAATAAATAAATAAATCTCGTGTACACAGTAATTATAACACCGTATAAGTAATTAAATAAATTGCGTCATTGTCATTATCTACAATAGTAGTTTTGCCTTAAAAAGACGTAGTTATTCGATTCATAATTCTTAGCGTTTGAATTCTATTGCACGCGCGCCAAGTTAATTAATTCTAGATTTATTACATTTTAAAATGCTCATTGATTTTAAATACGATACACTATATTAAGGAAAACAATGGCTTTTTAATATTGGAAATATTAATATAAATAATGGACATTAAATTACGAAACATCAAGCTATTTATATTATTAATGTGGGAATTGCACTTACAATTAGTTGAAAAATAAAAGCTACACGCCAATTTTATAAGGATTATTTGCGAAAAAAGGCTTTTATGATGATTAAAGTATAGATACTCAATTCGATATGAAAAATAATTTTCTCAAAAACTATATATCAGAAGTTGATTGTTTAACAATCTCTGGTTCTGGTTAAAACAAAGCGCAAAATATATCAAATACTAAATTAAATATTGAACAAAAATGCATATTTGTAACATTTAATCTACAAGTTTCCTTGTCTTCCAGTCTGCCTGTCCTGTCTACTAATATACGTGTCCAGCAATATATCTGTCCAGAAATATACCTGTCAACCTGTTTATTAGTCTAGTCCAATTTAGCTGTTTACCAATTTACCTATCAACCTGTTTATCAATCCATTACTTGCTTACCAATTTATCTGTTCAACAATTTACCTGTCCAAAAATTTACCTGTCCACAAATTTACCTGTCCGCAAATTTACCTGTGTATCAATTTACCTATCTATCAATTTACCTGTTTATTAATTTACTTGTCTAAAAATTCACTTGTCTACCAATTTACCTGTCTAGCAATTTACCTATCAATCTGTTTATCAATCCATTATTTTACCTGCCTACCAATTTATCTGTCAACCAATTTACCTGTTTACCAATTTACCAGTCATCCCGTTTTATATGTCTACCAATTAACCTGCCAACCTGTTTGTCTGTTTACATATTCTTCTATCTACCAGTTATCCTGTCTACCATTTTACATATCCTACAATTTACCTGTCCACCAGTTTACATATCTACCAATTTACCTGTCCACCAGTATACATATCTACCAATTTACATGTCAACCTGTTCATCTGTCTACATATATATCGATCTACTTAATTTAGTATTTATCTGTTTACCTGTCCGCCAGTTTACCAGTCTGCTAGTCTACCAATTACCAATTAATCAGGAAAGATGTTATCACTATGATAATTTTTACAAAATAGGGGTTTGTGGTAGGAGGTTGAAAATTGAGGGTTATTTGTGTTTTTTCTATACGCATTATAAAAAAATAAGATAAAAATTGACCAAAAAACATAAACAGGGCTTCGGGGCGGCCAACTCCTACCACTTGACTTCAATCAAAATATCCGAAAATCTGTTTGGGAATTTACCTAACAATTTACCAAATTTTCACGACGATCGAACGTATAGTTTATGCATAACAATTACACACACACACAAGCAGACATACATCCATTTTTATAATTATAGATAAATTCTTACCGTGCCTCTTCTGGCCACAACACTTTCTATAGATTTCCGTCTTCTATCCCACAAGCAAACTGGTCTTACATAATCATTATACGTGACTGGTGTCGACAACTTGAGTAAAGCCAGGTCAGCTTGAAAAGCTGTGTGATTATAGGCTGGATGAACTATCACCTCTGAAACCTAAGAACAATCGTATACATTTAGATAATTGTTTTATGAAGACATAACATTAAAAATCTAATTGCTTTATTACCGTAGCTGTTTGTTCGTTACCAGTCCATCTTCTCAAACTGTGTTTGCCCAGATATACCACCAGACTATCAGGTTTGACTGCCCGTCCAGTCGACTGACGTGTGACGCAATGTGCAGCTGTCACCAAAGTAGACAAAGATACCAAAGTTGCCCCGCAGATGTATCTGAGGTCTATCCCCTGGATATTAAATATTCAACAATCAAGCTTTAAACAAAAGCCAATATTTATATATTGTTACCTCAGGCCTGTAAATAGCAGCATGCCATGGATAATCTCCCGATCTTGTAGGAGTTCCACGAGAAATCAAGGCAACTGGTTGAATCGCGACCTTTCCACACTGTTCTGGCTAAAAATGTTTTAGTTACCGTAAAAACAAAATATTTAAACTCATTATAACTAAAAATGCCTGCTTGCGTTAGACTATTTCTATGATGAACCAAATAGCTTAATTTATTTATTGTAATTATTTCAAATTGGATCTAACCCGTCTATCCGTATTTGGTTGAGGTGCTGGCAATTGTGTTCGTTTGGAAGAAGTTCTCCTAACACCCCATTCATAATAGTCAGAAGAAGAAGGTTCTGATGGTCTGATATTACTATTGATAAGAGGAGTGTGTCCAGGTCGATTCTGGCTGCTTGGATGTGGAGTGATTGGATATCTAATTAAAAAAAACATTTACCGTTTATTAAAATTTATGACTATTTTAAGATTATCAACGTTTTTTTTTCTCACCCTTGATATCTTTCAGTTGTCGTATACGTAGGCCTTTGTATATGACTATCTAACGAAGTGTAAATAGTAGTCTCATCTCTATCGTAGTTATTACTCCCTGATCCTCTATGTGGTTGAGAACCCCTGCGGCCGCTGTTTTCATCCTCCCAATCCCTGTTAGAACCTCTCGTGCCTTGGCCGGAATTTTCTCTATGAGGAGACTCTATATCAAAATCAGAATTGCGGTTAGGATCTTGTCGGAATCCAGTATTTCTATCGCGGTCTCTATTGTTAGGTCTAGGATCAGTGAATTCTGGTTCGGAGCCCCTAATTCCAACCTTTTCTCGTTCATATTGATCATAAGGATCACGTGAAGGCGTTCTGTCACGATTTGAACCGCTTGAATAAACATCATCTCTTGAATCTCCATACGAAGGTTCCGGTTGTCTATTACCACCTCTATGAGTCTGGGTGCCTCTAGAACCAGAATATTCATAATCGTATTGTGAACTAGTGGTTTGCGTACCGCGATCAATCGTGTCCTTATTCCAAGAAGTTTGGGTTCTGTCCCTGTTTGTATTTCGAGTATCTTCATACGTATTCTCTTCAGAGTGTTTATCAGGATACGTAGCCCTGGTAGGCTGTGTGATTCTATGCCCAGATTCTTGTCTAGTAGTTTGAGTGGTTCTAGAATTATGATTATTGACAGACATTGTAGATAATGTTCTCGGTAAAGGTGCAGATGTACTTTTTTCAACAGGTGCATGAGCAAGTAGTTCTCCAGCGCGTATACCTACTTCGTCGTATGCATTGTTTGAAGGTCTGCTATTAGCATGGAAGCCTTGTTGGTTAGTTGAACCTTTCAATAGTGATGTTGTCTGGTGACTTTGAGGCTTATTAACAACCTTCATAGTGCCGCGAGTACTTGTATCTTCATTTGATGATTGCGATATACCTTGTTTCTGAGAAGTAATGCTTGGCTGAATCGGCTGATGATGCGTTTGACTCGATGTTCCACGTATAGCTGACCCTGAATTTTGGAATGTGTTTTGTGTATTCTTATGATTGCTTTGGGTCGAAGTACCTTGATTTGAAGAGGTGTTTAAATCGTCATAGGAAGTAACTCTGGTGTTTTGATTCTTTTTTGATGATTGGCTGCTATTTTGTTGATTGCTAGTCTGAACGGCAGAAGTCCCACGAGTACCGGTTTGATCATATCCTTTGTTGGCTTGGTACACATTTTGCGTCTTATGTGTAGAAGTTTGGGGACGATTTTGCTGATCGTAACTATTTTGATTCGTATGTGTACTGCTAGTCTGAGGTCTGTTTGACAAAATAGGTTCCTCATAAACATTTTGAGTTCTGTGTGTGGATGACTGAGGCCTTGCTGAATAGTTAGGATCTACATAGCTAGGAGTCCTGACAGGTTCGACATCTAGTTCTTCTTCATGATCAGGTGGGCAGATCTGACGACCATTAAGGCGGATGACACGGACCGCAGGTGGAGGGAGAGAAGATACATCATATTTGACGTAGATCTTTACTGGGGTGATGGATCCTTTAGCTAAACGTCTGTCGAGATCTTGGATTTTAAATTCGCGGTTATCATTGCTGGTTACTTCAGCAAGATAATTCTGACAGAAAGAAAAAAACGATTCCTTTATTAGATTTTGAAGTTCACTTATACATTATCACAATAATATTAAAATAATCCATTTCCTCATTTATTACTGCAAATAAATAATTGGTATAATCTATAGTTATTTACATTGACATCATTGTTATTTTACATCGCATGCATATTGGTATCAGGAATCGAAAAAAAAAGATTTATGTATTATATAGTTTTAATTATCTCGCCGACCTTGGCGACTTTTTTGACTTTTAACATGTATACACAGACCACTTCGATGCTTATTCAAAATTTTATAAAGAAAATTGATAAATAAAAGACGTCATAAAATTCCTGAGAATGACAGAATTCATTTATAAAAATAATTTCATATATAGCTATGAGATAAAATGAAAATTTATTGAATTTTAATTAAACACATTATTAGTATAATTCTAAAATAACTTAATAATAATAAAAACTTTGAAATAGTAAAAATAAACAATTGTTTGTATTATTTTAAGTATATACTTTTAGCATTTAAGAAAATATATGCCAATATATGAAAATATATTGGTACAGATATGCATAATTTTATGGCACAATATACCAGTGTATCGAGAAGACTTAATTATTAATGCTAATTATATCGCTTATGAATATTTAAATTTAAACATAAAAAGCAACAAAAAAATTAATTAAAAAAAACTTATGCACCAAAAAGCATATTTTATCTTAATTTTAATGTCGTGGTAAATCAAATGCTTGACAGGAATAGCAGACAGATTTAGTTTCTAGTTGCAATAGAAATACATTTATATGCCAACTCATCGAAAACAACTTCGGTATTATTATTATAATATATGTTATCATTATTTTATTTATACATTTTCATAGAATATTTATAGTAGCAAGTAATTGCTGCAAATACTTGAATACACTGGAAGAGGACTTCATCTATATTATTTGCCAGAATGTATACAAGCCCAAAAATTAAGCAGATTGTAGGACTTAATTGGCATATAAATTTAGCAGTAAATAAACGCTTTCAATTATCAAACAATCACAAAACGATTCTGGAACAAACTAGTGGTGCATGGCATCGGGCCTTAAGACAAATTGCTGGAACTTTCCGTCCCAAAAATTAAATTAAAAAAAAACTCTTTTTTTAAAACTTAAAAAAAAAAAAGATTTTTAAGAATTTTAAACTTTTTCTATTGGATTGGAAATCTGCCTTCTCGTCAGTTGTTCATTTAGTCAATAGAAATAATATGTTTTTTTAATTATTCAAATCGGACGCTCCGTTCTTCCAAAAATTGAATTACCATTTTTGGCTATTTTCGCCCCGTATCTTCGGAACGGCTAGACCTGCCTTTGCCAAAAACTAATCAACACGCCTCCTCATCAATACAAATCGAATGTTTTTCGAATTATTCAAATCGGTTGATCCGTGTTCCCAAAATCGTCGACAAAAATTTGTATCCGCATACACACACGCGCACACACATACATCAATTTTTTCTAATTATAAGGTATGCCAAAATGTTCAGAAACCTTTGGAACGTGAAGATATATAAAAAATTTGATTTTTGATTCTTTTGCGATTACTATAACTTACCCTACGAAATGTTAATAATATTGAATAAAGTTGTATTGAAAATGATTATAATCAAGCAGTAGATATATATACATTTTTACTTCAAAATATTGGTCAAAAGTATGTTTCTGAGCAAAAACAGTTATTTTTGGACATTGCCGCATCAAACTAGAATTATTTGAGCAGTATTAGATAAATTCTAATAATAAAAATCTATCAAATATAGGAAAGTTAACCGTTGGGTTGCCAATAAAAATTAGCATAGTAGGAAAAGTTCAAGCACAAAAGCTGATAAAGTTGTTATGAGAACAACAGAAAAAAATAAAAGATTTAAAAAAAATTCTGATAGATTCAAAATTATGTTTTTTTTATTTATCCGGCGAAAGGCGAAATTTAAATTTTAATTTGTTTGATAGTTTTATTCATTTTGATTATAATAAAAAAACAATTTTTTTTCCTATCGTTTTTTGCGCAGTATCATTTTAACTTCTAGAATTACAATCTATATATTATGGAGACATTTTGTAATAGTTTTCAATTAAAGGCATCCCACTATTTGTACTTTGATATATTATATTTAAAATCTATAAACGCAAGTAAAAATCTGATATCACTACTGCATGATATCAAGCTGGCTGCAAGGTTGGTATGGAAACGAAGATTGATGGTTTTAATCCAAGTTACTACAAGACCACAGCTGGCTCTAACATAAAAAGTTAGATTCAAAAAGTATATAGCATACATTTATTGTTTCTTTTTGCACAGTGTGAAGTGTATAGCATACTTTAACATTTTCGTATGTGCGGTATTAAGTACATTACAGTACAGTGTACTTAGTTTATTTTTGACATAAAATATTGTTTTTATTTATTTAACAGCAATAAGAATCTACTCAGCACTAATTGTCCTATAAATTATTTGTTGGAAGACCTAACCTCTACTAATTCACGAAAGGCAACCCAGTGGTTAACCTCGTTTTTTGTGTGGCGGTTATATTGGACCTATACCTAAATCTTATAGTTATGTTCGCATGTTGCAGCAATACCCCCGAAATGATATTTTCACTTGAAATCATATTTGAGATCCATAGTTTCAAGAGAAAATCTGGTATCATACTGCTTGGTACCAAGCTGGCCGAGGTTGGATCAAACATGGAATTGCTTTACCACATGTGCTCATCGTCAGATAAAAGGGTGAACATATATTATCGTACACAGAGAACTTATTATTAGCAATAAAAAAGCCTACCTTTATATCCGTCTAAATAATAAATGTACTAAATATGCTATTTAAATGAATCTATAAAAAATATTTCTATATATTAAATATATATTCGGAATATTTGCACCAGAACAACGATAACAAAAATTCGATAACCGAATGTACATTTCCTGGAATGTTCACATTGCTTTTTGAACACACCTCGTATACCACTTATTGTTAATTTGTTTTCGACAAATTTCGACCAGATTATGATTACATAATTTATTTGTCATATAACTCAAGGAACTAATATTTATTATATGATAATTCTTCATAATTATGTATTTTGTACAGTAATTATTGAAGTTATTTGTTAGGTTCAGTAATTTAATCACAATTTTTCTTACAAAAATTTCAGAAATATCAGTACGTAATAAAAAAATAATTAATAGAATTATCTGACTAAATTTATTTAACTTACCCCCAGCAGATGTGCAGGTTTATCCAACTCCACATCGATCCAAAATCCTGACAGCGTAGTGTCAGCTTTAACCAGAATCTCTCCAAGCCATCGGTCTGGTGTCTGTGAGTTGCTGCTGGTCAAACTGCTAGTGTTATAAGAGAACACTCCTGGACAGGGCGACCGTGGAATATTCACGATGGCAGACTGTACAGTCGTCAGGATGCATGTTATATACACTGCTAGGAGTGTTTTGATTGCCTGAAAAAATATAAATAAAACATTTTAGTATGAGAGATTTGAAGACTTTGGGAAACAAATTACTTTGAGAGATAATTTTGGCCAAATATCGTTAACGCCAATATGAAAAATAAAATGATGAAGTATTAGAGAAAGCTCGTAAGCTAATTTATAAAAATAAAGTTTAATGAATCGATTCTGCCGCATAACAGATCAATGTTATGGCAAGGCTATGTTTTGAAGAACTTTCCATACTAACTATTGTCAAGAGCCATGTGACTGCTCTGAAGTCAGGCGTTTTTTTCAGGTTGTCAGATAGAAAACCTAACCTAGAAACCGCAAAAATATCAAAAAAAGATCTCAGATAACAGGGTTTTTCTGACTCAGGTTCATAATATACGAGTGACGTTGCATTTTATGTGTAAAACTGCCTGAATGCACAGCAAATACATGATATTTTGACAGTATTCAGTATGATTTAGTAGCATAATGTATGTAAGTTGGAGTGTAACATGGCCTTGCCATAACATTAATGTTATTGCATTAATGTTATTGGTCTGTTATGCGGCAGAATCGGCCCATAAGTTTATAAGTAAGGAAACAAATAGGTTGAGAAAGCAAATGATGCTCTTGCACTTCTGGACCTGTTTTCGGTTAGAATAAAAACAACATATAATAAAAAAAACAATGTAAAAAAGAAAATATATAGATCATTGACAAGAGACAAAGATTCTAAAACTGCTCGATAGATATCTGATGGAATCGAGTTTTGGTAAAGATCTGCCAGGCTAAATTTGCCTGTCAGGTTAACTTTCAAAATTAGTTTTTTGCGAAAATGTGTATAGAAATTTTTGCACTTTTCTGGTACTTCAACGCGAGTCCTTATCGAGTTTTATGAAATGTCTTGAAAAAGCTGAATTGAGTCTATTTCGGAAAACCATCGACAAAAGATCAAATTAAGCACATTCACATAGGTACACATACTATTTTCAATTTTGGTATCAAATGATTTACGACTTAATGGAGGAAATATAAAAGTAGCAATATTTTTTAGCAATTTTTTTTAGCAAAAACGTAAACTTTTACTGTAAGCTAACAAAAAAACTAACGTACAGCATAAACTAAGGTCGAGATCAAAGTTTTTCACTATATATATCATTTGGAATTAATGAATTCACATTCAACTTTTTTTTTATTTTATTATTATTTGCATTTATTTCACTAGTTTTATTAACTTCCCGTAGGGTAAGTTCTTGTAATCGTCCAAAAAACGAAATTGAAAATTTTTGCATATCTTCACGGATGTGTGTGTATTTATGTATGGATACAATTTTTCGTCCACGTTTTCGGACAAATATTCAACTCCTATTGATAGGGAGATTTGCTGATTAGTTTTTGGCAAAAGCAGGTCCAGCCGTTTCGGAGATACGGAGTAAAGAGTGCAGAAAATATAAATCGTTTTTTTTTGAGAGAATGGAGTATCCGATTTGAATGATCCAAAAATATTCAATTCGTAATGATGTGAAGAAGGGTTGATTAGATTTTTGCAAAAGCAGGACTAGCCATTTCTGAGATACGGAGCTAAATATGCAAATAATGCCAGTTTTTGATAAAAATAAGCATTCGATTAGAATGGTTTAAATAGGTTTTTGCTTGTGTTAACAAAATGATTGCTTTTGGTTTAAAATTTCAAAAAATACTTTTGTTTTACTAATTTATATTCTTGGAATATTTCATTGTGGTACGGGAAGTTTCAGCAATTTGCCTTAAAGCACGATGCCATACACCACTTATATTATATTTTATACATATTATTTTTTTGTCCAGTAACCTCAACTAATCACATGGGTATTGGTAATTTTATTAGATAATTTAGTTAAAAATGTATCAAAAAATTTTTTTTTCTAAAATCCCTGGAAAAATACTATTTTCTATCACTCATATATGACTGACATGGCCATATTATAATGAATTTTCTCGATGTATTGTAGTTGCATTTGTCAGACATATATGCCTGACATGGCTTATGTTAAACTTCTTATCGTCAGCCACATATGACTGACATGACAATCAATGTGTTAAGCCATAAAAATAGCCATATGCACCTGAGCCATAGTAACTTTAATAGATAATTTAGTTAGAAATGTATCAAGGAAACTTATGCGTATCAATGAAAAAAACAATTTGGCCAAAATTTCTGGAAAAACACTATGTCACACATTTATGACTAATATGGCCCTATATTAAAATATTTTCTCTCAGACATATATGAGTGACACGGTTCATCTTAAATTCCTTAAGGTCAGACCCATAAGACTGATATAGCAATTAACGTGTTAAGCCATAAAAATGGCAGTGTTATGAAGATTTAAAATAAATTAATATAAAAAGTTAAAAAATAAACATATTTTTTTAACTAAACAATCACCATATTAAATTTATTTCAGTATATGTGTGTCGTTAAACAAACTTGATTTAAGTTTTATGATCTATCACTAAAAAAACACGACTGTTATTCCTCAACCATTTATTGTATGACCACAAATTCACACAGTCCTAATTTATCCGACTACTACTAGTTAGCATAGTCTAATGTAAACTGCGAAAAAAACTCAAATACGTATAAAATGCTATGTTAACCAATTGACTATTTATTTATCGAAGAAAAGGTACTAATTAGTCGTTTTATTATTCATCGACCGCATTGTGAATGAAACTGAAACTGCGAAACAATAATACTAACAATAATTCTTGGTTTAGCATTTAGAAGAAGCCAGAAGGCAGAAGACGGCCTTTGTCATTCGTTTCATAGAAATTTTATTATTGCGGTTATTTCGAACGCATCGGAATTGTTTTAACAATTTTACGGTGGACGGCGGGAAATAACGCTACCGAGTCGACGTTTAATATAAATATTATACTACAGCAAAAGTTCTTTAGTCCGGCATCCAACATTTTTTCAAAAATTTCGTTTTTTTTAAGTACAACTTCTTTAGGCGCGACTAGGGTAAATTCGTACAAATGTAACGGAAGTACGTAACCGCAGATAAGATAAGATAAAGGTCGAATGCCAAAGATTCGTTATTAGTTCTCGATGATATCATTTCTATACGGGTCGATTGTGATTAGTCGTCGCGTATGTGAATAGAGATCTGTCGTTGTATGCGTACCGGCATCAACGTTGTATGCGTACTGATATTAACAAGGAAATCGGCATAGATAAATAAACATTTCAAAGTTACACCGTAGTACAAATCTTGATTTAATGAAAAATGCCTTATCAGAAGAATATTTTACCCTGTCTCCCGTAAATAATTATAATGAAAGTAATAAAACAAATGCAGCATTTGCGTCGTGTATGAAACATAAGTTTATTGAAATAATTTCTATATTATTCGTAGTTTGTATAAATCTTTGAAGTTATTCAAATGAAAAATACTTTTAGGCAAAACAGATATTACAAAGAATGAGATTATATCGTCAGCGAAAGGGTAAAAAAAATATCATCAGGCAATGAATGTATGTTAATTTTAATTACATGAAGTTCTTCAAACACAATTACATAAAAACAATATTTGTTCAGATGTTGTTTAACATAATCCACTGTGCGAATATTATAGAATTTATTAACCAGCAATTACTTCATTTCTCTAATGAAGGTTCATTTTTAAATGCTAATTACAATGACAAACCGATCATGTCATATTTGAAGTATGACTTTAATTACATTATTTTTTTTAAATATTATACATATTTTAATGCTATTATAAATATATAATTTATAATTTATCATTATATAAATGTGCATAATGGTTGACAATAATTAATATGTGCATCACTATAGTGTTACCATATTGCTAATACATTATTCAAAATTGTTATATAATGTTTTTATTTTTACTTAAATGCCATCTTGTACAGTAGCAAATAAGTTTTACTTTAATTGCGTGTGAACCTTATGCGCATTTTTTTTTCTACAATATTAGCATATTTTTATAATCATTTAAATTCTTTTTACTATTTTCCAATTTTCTTGAATTTCTCTTAACAAACATGAAAAAGATTTATTAAAATTCGAATAACCGTGTAGGAAGAGTTTTCATTCATGCATCTGTATAGAATAATTTTATATATGTATATAAAAAACATATATATGACATTTTGAAATGAATTTATAATTAAAGAATGCAAAAATGATAATTTGTCATTTGTGTCCCTCATATTTAGAAATAATTCAGTATTTGCGAAGAAATTTTACATTTTACTAATCACAAGTTAAAACAAGTCATAGCCAATTAATTTTATCGCCATTGATGGTCATGAACTCATCAAATCAGAATTAATATTTGGTTCTTTTTTATAATCAAATAAATTTAAATAATATGAAATATATGCGAGATTAACTGTACCTCAATATAATTGAAATCTATTTTAAGACCCATGCGACGCCTTTTGCTTTACAAATTCCATGGAATAATTCCAGACAAATGAATAATTGTTTCTTCATTCATAAATTAACGGAATACGAGTAGTATTATTAACATATTTATGTACTACACACAATAAATTTTTACGTTTTAATGAAATATGTAAGATTTAATCAGGGTTTCATTAACGTAATTGTAAAGATTTTAGGCAAAAAAATTGATTAAGCAGATTAAGAAAATTTATTCGAAAACAAATTCGTACTACAACCGTTTCCGTACATGATTTCCTTGTAAAATTACAGAAGACAGATAATCATATAATCAGTATTTTTAACTTCCCGAAGCACAAGTTAATGTTTTCGCAAAAAACGATTTGGTGATTTTATGTCTTTTATGATTTTTGACCTTTCGTCGAAGTTTTCTCGAAAACGGCTTCAGGTAGATACAAAAGCCGCCTCGAGGATCATCCACACCCACTGAGGATCTGACAGACAACTACGCCACAACACTACCAGGGGAAGAATAAAAAATAAATTCAGACAATTACAAAAGCTGCCTCGAAGATCATTCAAATCCATGTGCCAGACAACTACG